AGCATTTCAACTGGGACATACAATCACTTGGTTCTGGCATTTTACTTTCTGATAAAGTAATTTCACAAGGAGTCTGGAGGAATGTGAACAAGTCTGTTAGGCAGCTTTTCTCCAGGATCAGATGTCTCAAGCCTGCCTTAGGCAAGTGCTGGATCTCAGTCAATTCACTGCTGGCTTCTCTGAGTGGAGCCTCAAGTTGCCACTTTGTGTTGATGATTAAAAAGGGAATCCTGGGTTCTCATGACCAGATGTACTGATTGGTGAGCATGCAATTTGCACATGTCAGATCCCTCCTGTTAGGTGGGCTCTGTTATTGGGTTAATGATTAAGCTACAAGTGACACTGCACACTGCTGCGTGGAGCATTCTGAGTCAGTGGCTGCCTCTTGCTGACGGCTCTGCTGAAGTCAGCATTGCATAGGAAGGCCTTCTCAGGTGATGGGTGTGCTGTACCTTGCCAATGGTACTTTGCTCTGATCTTGCCACAGAGGACAGACTTGCCCTGCACAGTGTTTGGTTTTCTGACAAGAGCGGGAAGCTTTCTTTCTTCTACAGAGTACAAAGTAAAATATAAAAAAAGAAGCAGCTACCCCGGGTAAATGGAATAAACAACAGAATAGAGGAAGAGTATTGGTAATATATCATTCAGGATAAATTATATGAACAGACCAGGAAAAATTATGAACTCACAAAAAGTCTTTTTTTTTAAAATGATTGTCTGGGGCAAAGAGTAACAAAAGTAACAAATGCAGTAATGGTACCCGTTGGAAATGATGTTAAAAATGAACTATATGGGAAGGGAAAGGATGGTAGGAGGAAAACAAAGGAGGGGGTAACAAAGCTTAATAGGCAATGAATTCATTACCTTACTCATGTAACTCTAACCCCTCTGTACAGTGTCTTTACAATAAAAAAATTTAAATGAACTATACAACTTGTGTTTGGGATGGGAGGGGAAAACTTGGAGAGAACAAGGGAAGGGGTAACAGTGTCCAAAAGGAAATCTACTCTTTGCTTGACTTATATATTTGTAACCTCTCTGGTTTTAGCATTTTCAAACAAAAATAATTGAACAAAGAAGATTCTTCAGGGTAAAAAGAATGGCTCAGTTGGTAGAACTCTAGCCAATGAGCTAAAGCGGCAGGTACTGGGTTCCAGTCCCAGTCTCAGCCCTTAAAAAAAGTTTCTCCATTTTTATAATTTATTGAATGATATAAATGAACCAGCAAAATCCTAATAACTCAACAAGTATATATCTGTGTGTCAAACTTGTGCAAATAAAAGGCACAAAGTCCAGCTCTTTAGCCAAATAAGGATATTGTCACATGCTGTGTTTATGATCGTTCATTATAAGTCCTCTGGTTTTCTGTTCTTTCTTTGTTTTTGTTTTTTAAAAATTCTTTATACTTTTAAGTAGTTGTACAAAGGGGGGTAAATTCAACGTATCAATTTGTGAGTACAATGCTTCTTGATTCTCTGCTCTTTAAAGGCAGAGAATGTATTCTATACAACCTTGTCTGTGTCCCTTTAGTACCCTAGAAAACAGGCAACTATTAGTTGAATGAATAGCAAAGCAAGATTTCTTTTATTAAAACTTATTGAAAAGAAAGACAATTCAATTAATTAGTACACTTCAAGAAACACAGTTTTGCAATCAAAGTCAATGCCCAGTATCCGAGTAAAGAAATGACACTGGTTTACATGTGTGGCTTGTGGGAACATTTATAACTTTGTCATGTCTTTACTGTAAATACAATTTAATGGCTAATTGTGTTAATTGGAGGTACTAATGGGTCTAATTTTTAATTAAAAGATGTAAATCATTTGTAATTACTTCATGGTATCCATGAAAACAAATGTTGCTTAGGGCTTAAAAATGCCTTTGTTCTTTGAAGTAGCTTGAACACTGCCCAACAATCCTTGCTCATCCAAGAAAAGGCAGCAAAAGACAAATTTTTACCAAATCTTTGATTTTTCTTACCAATTCCAAATTAAGGAGGCTTTCCAATATAGATTTATATTCCTTAACTAGCTAGCAAACACAATGTAAACAATTATGATTAGTACAGTTGTGGTTAATAATATTTGAGTACACACTTTATGCCAGGATGTGATTTATATTTTTTAACTCTTCCAATGCTTACTATAATCTTATTAGGGTATTGTCTTCAAATAAGTTATGTAGGCTACAGAGAGTTCAGTAAGTTTACCAATTAGGCACAATTAGTAACTCACACAAATCACTTCTGAATTTGAGCATCTCACTTATGAGTTAACAAACTTAAACATAATGCTATTTGTTCTCACTGAAACACTTATTACACTGTTATAATAACCTGTTTTATGTAACTTCCTAAACTCTAGAGGTGGTAAAACATGATTGAAAAAGTATGCCTAGTTGAACCCGACTCTATATTGGCGTACTTTTGATATTCATCAGAGTGATATGTTGCTCTGAAATATCAAAGGACTCGTTGCCATTCAAACCCCAACATTATTTACTATTTCTAAGAGCAATAGTTTTGTAATATTCCTGTGATATTGTCATGGTATGCATTCACTCTGTTGTCCAGCTGGTAAACTATTCATCCATCCAAATACAACTTCTGCTTCACTTTATGCCTGAGGATCTCAATACTTGTTTCTAGATCATTATTCCTCCATATTTTATAAATTAACCATCACAAATAACAATAACCTTAAGTCTGACATATATATGTATATGTGTGTAAACACATACATGTATAAACAATTGTTCTATTTTCTATTCATATTTGTATCACTAGTGCTTTAGTGCAGTAGTCAGTACCCAGATACTATCTGGTAAGTGCTTAAAATATTGTTGGAATAAAATTAGTTTGGCATGGCTCTGTAGATTATCTAACAGATGTCTTAAACTGCAATAAATTGGAACAACATATTTAGCTACTACACTAATGAAGAATTGAGTGTCCAATATTGGTATATTGGGATATTTGAAAAGGCGATATTGAAACACCATGTCCTATTTTACTTTTCTGATATGGTCAATATGGAATGTGTCAAGTGTCTCTGAAATTGTCCTATCAGTCAATTAGCAACCACTTCAGCAACACACATTTACTTTGTGTTTTGAGATAGACCAAACTATGTGCTAATGTCTATGCCCAACCACCAGTTAAACCTTATTGAGAATCACTGTAAAATGCTCCCAAATGTTATTTTTTATATGAAAACTATATTAGTCCCATCCTCTGTACTATAAAACTGGAAATTTGCAATGTTTTTTATTGTGAACATGTCATATCTTGGCTTTTTAATAGTTCTGTGGGAGTCTTATTTTTTCTTCCCGAAGCACCCATCAAATTGCTTCTTAAACTTACTTTTACCAAATCATTCATCTACTCAAAAACTTTCAGTGGCTACATTAGGGAATCAGATGGAAAACTCTTGAGCTTGTTTTTTTAGCCAGTGTTTCTGCAGGACTGATTTGTATGGAGCTTGACCCGTTTTAGTAAATACTTTTGACATTTTGTTGCTGTTTGCATTGTTTTCTGGAAAACGGAGAACAGGATAATGAATTGAAGGTAAGTTGTAGATTCCATCTTCCTTGTTACTACTATTGGTAAATTATCAAGAACATCAACTCTTAAATAAGGATGTTAAACAAGGATGTCAAGTGTAAAATAAAATAGAAACTACAATACATCAAAGTCTTCTCCCGGGTGTAACATATCTTAAATGAAAATGGTGCCTTAAATATGACAGCTAATGTATTTTGGGGGAAAGAGTTGTGACATCATAATTAATAACAAATCAGTAATCATTTAAAGAGATTTTGGAAAGGACCAAAGTAAGTTCATAGTTCAAAGCTAGCTCATTATTCTTCGATGGAGACATTCTTAAAGTTCCATGATAAAGATCCAGCCTTAATCATGACTAAACAAGCCCAAAGAACCTGAGACAAACAACCCTTCAAATGCTAAGTTAAGCAAGCAGGGTGGTTGGGAGCAGGATGTTCTCTTCTTGAAAGCCACTGCTCAGTTGCCAGATTCAATTGCCTGTGGTCTTGTTCAAGCTATTTCTGTACTGTGTCTCTTGCTCTGTCTTTCCAATGTCCTTCATGGTTTTCATTTTATGTTTTATTGCCACCTAACATGTCAAAGGATCAAAAAGTTCAAAGCTCTTCAGAGACCACCAGTGTTTCAATTAGTTTTTTTAAGCAACAAAAATGAACAATTGCCCCATTTGCAAGAAACCAAATTCAAAATTAAAATGAAACCACACGGTCTGTATACTTAAAAAAAAACACCCACCATCTCCACATATTTGTACTCTGCTACAAATTTCACAACTTAGTTTCATTGAATAACTTAACTTTTGTTAATTGAAGTCCTTAAGACCCTAATGTATTCATAAAGCAAATTTTGCCACTTGGTTATATAAATAGAATACTGGTAGTTTTACTTTGAACAAAAATATCACTTATGGAACAAATTTGAGGTTTTGATTCATTCAACAAATAATTATATTGAGCACCTACTATGTTTCAGACCCTATCCTGGGTGCTGAGCAAGCAGAAATGGGATGACTTTCTGATTTCAGAAGAATTCTGGTCTCTAAAGCAGTGCTTCTCAATCTACAGTTTAAAATTTTTATTTTTACTAAATATAAGGTCTTTCCACTTATCAGAAATTCTGATGATCTTATCTCACACAGAGAATGAGCAATACACAGAACAATAGACTCTATTTCCTGTGTATCATCCATGGACAAACTGTTATTCGATTTTATTTTGTTGTTGTTTTGTTTAAAGCAACATATTCATTTTCAAGACAAATTTGATATTGATGTTAAATATACTTTTCAAGATGGCACAATACCTCCTTACCAAACAGAAATTCAGATTTCCTTGTCCCCCACCCCATTGAGAATCACTGCTTTTCAGAATTTTGGAGAAAAACCAAGCAACCTCCATCTCTCCCCTCCAATCCAGTCTTAAAGGAATTAGAATTTTCCTACCTGACACAACAGCTGGTGGAGTATCATAATCCTGTCTTGGGATTGAATCTTTGAATGAAAAGAGCATGAGAAAGAATGCAATGAAGTACAAAGGAAAATAAAACAGAATCTTAATTTTCAAAGTTGGGAGGACACACTGTGCTAAACCTGCCCTCTGCTTTCTAGTAGTCAAGGTATTGTGACTCTTAGTTGACAGTTGACACCAAGGCCCCCAGGACCACTGCACTATATATGTTGGCCCAGCTGGAATAGTAGTTTGACTCTAAACATTGTTATGTTCCTCAGTCTGTGCTTCCTCTTAGGAATCAGTGTGAATACTTTAGCTTCCCTCACTGCATTACCTCAGGAAGAAGCCCAAAGCAAGGTATGAAACAAAGTCTTGAAGACTAAAAGAAAAAAAAAAAAAACAACCCTAAAGTTTAGAGGAAATAAGGGAACACATTCTTATACTCTTCGGAGGCATATGTGTTTTGAAGCCCAGGCTTCATTTTCATTGGTCGCCTGACTGGGCTGTGAGGCAGAGCTCAGGGCCCTTTGCTACAAGGCTGGATGCTTCCTTTTCAGACTCAGCTTTCCATGTAGACTAGTACCAGTGGAATGCCTGGTTGCTGTCTCTTTTCAAAGGCTCCTATCACTGGAGGTGGCAGATTTTGAAGAAAGCATCACTAACTTGCAAAATGTGAGGTCGCTGGGTGGGGAGGGGAACCAAAAATACCTGTCTTTTTTTTAGGATGAAAGGAGTATTTTGCCCAATACAATTCCTTTCATTTCATGTTCTTAAAAAAGAAAAGTAGGACATAGCCTGTGACCTTAGTCCCCCTTCTAAAAGGGGAAAGTTTTAATCCTGCTCCAGCTTTTCTTCAGGTGATAATCTATTTTTTTTAAAGTGACCTAATACTGTTCACACTCAAATGAACTGCCCAGACAAGTCTACTAGAACCTCTTATATGAATTATTTCCCTCATCTGCTTTGTATGCCATTTTCGATGCTAAAATCTCAAAATTAATTTTTCTAGCCATTTAATAATTTTTGGACTATTTCAAATTTTCTCACTTTCTTTTTGAAAAAGGAGAGTGCTAATCATTCTCAGGAGTAAATGGTCCATATGAAGACAGACTAGAACTCTAACATTGCAAAGCACTTTGACCAAGAAAAGTAAATACTGTTCAGAATATTCCAATGTAAATAAGACACAGTTTTAAGTTCTTTGGCTGTGTGTGTGTGAATATTCAAATATTCACTGGGTAACTAGTGAATTTATTATAATCCCCAATTCTATAATATGTAGAATCATATGTAAAGCACTTCCAAATGTTTTCTTAGTAGTAGTAGTAGTAGTAGTAGAAATATTTAGTTACCAATACCATTTTAAAACCTGTAATCACATATAACAGTTTATTTTTAAAAATAAAAGTTTTGGGTTATGCCATTGATAATTTCCAATATCTGTATTTGAGTAATTGTAGAATATAGAAAAGTATAACACTTGAAATAAAAATCACTCTTCCAATTTTCTAAAATAACCATACTTGTTTTGTGTTACTTCAGATTTGTTTTGTTAATATTTTTCAGAACTGCAACTATACTCCATATGTGCAAACTCACATCCAACATTTTTGGCTTCACATGATAAAGAATGAATTTCCTTATTATTTTGAATTTGTATATATTCATGCTATATTATATCCAAGTTTATGCTTAGATTATAATTTATCTAATTATGTTTCTGGTATGTGTGTGTGCACAAATGTGTGCACTGGATCTGGGGCTTGAACTCAGGGTCTGGGTGCTGTCCCTTCGATTTTCCACTCAAGGCTGGTTATCTACCATTTGAGCTATCTCCTAGCTGGTGGTTAATTGGAGTTAAGAATTTCATAAACTTTCTTGTCCAGGCTGGCTTCTAACCATGGTCCTCATATCCTAGTCTCCTGAGTAGGAAGGATTATCGGTGTGAGTCATGAGTGCCCAGTTTAACTATACTTTTTAATGAATTATTATAAAGAACATGTTTTAGGCATAAGTCTGTTTGGTTATCTTAGAGCTTTTTTATAGACTATCTTCTCAAAATTACAACTGCTTACTCACCAAGGGTAAATGCTTGGAGGTGTGTGGACTGTCTACTTTGTTGTCCTGGTAAATCTTGTATGAATTTAGATGACCACCATCATATAATCTATGTATAATCAATATTTGGATCATTAGATATGCAACATTTTGTCGATTTTATTTGATGAGATGTGTGTAATTGTATGTCAAATTTATTTGTACATTGGATTAAATTATATAGTTAGATTGCTGGTTTTTCATATATTGTCAGCCCTCTCTTCCCACTTGTTAACTATATGTTCTTTGATATTTTATGAATCCATGTGGTATTAGTTCAGGTTAACTCATAATACTGTGTAGATGTACTAGATCTGAACTCAAGGCTTTGTAATTGTTAGGAAGGTACTCTACTACTTGAGCTACATACCCAGCCCTTTTAATTCTGATTTTATTTAAAACAGGGTCTCACTTCTTGCCTGTGCTGACCTGTGCTACCATCCTCAAATTTATGCTGATGGGCTCAGATCTCAGCCTCCCAAGTAGCTGTGGTTACAGATCGAGCTACCAGCAATGGCCTCACAAGTTGTTTTTTTAAGACAGCAAAATTTTAATATTTGCAAATAATATTGGACTTTCAATTAATGCCCTCACATTCATATGAAAAGTGTAAGAATAACTTCAAAGTTCTTTTCTTTTACAGTAAGACCTAACAGAAAACATGATTATCCACTTATTTATATTTTTTCCTTGCATTCATTTGTGATTGGTTGATATTTGTTCTGAAAAAAACTATTAAGGAAATGCACTCATAATTTCCTGTAGTATTTCCTGAATCATGATTCCATTTAATATCTAGTTATAATTTTCTTATTATATAGAGATATATGCACCTTTATATAATTTTGCTTTGTAATATTTAATACCCATGTCTAATCATGAAAAATAAGGGTGATCCCTTACCAACGTGAACAGTTCAGAGTTTTGAATTTTAGAGCTGTGGGATTCCTAGCACTAGCACCTCTGGGGAATCAATGGGAAACAACCCCAAGACTAGTGTTAGGAATGGCTCTGGTTTACTCTAGGAAAATTTAATGATGTCACAAATCACCAGAGGCCTGGCTAACAAAAAGGGAGCTGCTGATAAAGAACCCTCAGAACAAAATCTTTTTGTTTTTTTTCAACAGAAGCTGGTGACATTGTAAGCCACTGGTGACCAGCAACTGAACAAATGAAAAGGAGATAAGAAACTTGTAAAACAAGATTGTCATGCAATGCAATGGTTCTCATAACACAGTAGAGTCCCCTGTGGTTTCTGCTAAAGCTCACAATAAAGTGATAAGCAATTATGGATAATGGGGAATTGGTTACATCAAAAGAATTCTGTAATGAAAAAGTAAACAAAAGCAAAAGTGCTAGAAAAATTCTTCAAAGTCAGCAGAGCCATGGAATAAAAGGATACACTGCTTTTATAAAATTCATGTTGCTAAGTCCTACAGATTCTGTCCAGCTGAAAAAAATGAGTAGAGAATTAAATAAGGAATTGAAGTAGCAAGGTAGAAAGAAAGGTTAACTATAGTACATGGCACCCATTTCCATTTGGAGTTTGTGTGGGATGAAATATATCTTTGTTTTTGAAGATGAAAATGATGTTTTGACTCAATACAAGTCCTTCAGTCAGGAACCTTACAAAAGAAAGTGGCCAGGTGCTAGTGGTTAACACCTGTAACCCTAGCTACTCAGGAGGCTGAGATCTGAGTATTCCTGTTCAAAGCCAGGCTGGATGGAAAAGTCCAGAGATTCTTATTCTAATTAATCAGCAAAAAGCTGGTAGGGCACCAGCCAGCCTCAAGTGAAAACAAAACAAAACCCCAACAAATCAGAGTATGAGGCCCTGAATTCAAGCTCCAATACCAATACAACTAAAAAAGAAAAAGGAAAAGAAAGAAGGGCATAGCAAGTTGTCTCAGTCTCCCCAGGCCCCTTCTATCCAGGGCAACTTGCATACTACCTCTATTCACCTCTTGTCAACTTTGATCACTCTACTTTGAATTATTCACTGAATCTCTAGGTGATGGCACTATCTGTTTCTGGAGTTCCTTAAGCTAGTGGTTAGCGCTTACATTTTGCTTTCCAAAATTGTTGTGAGCCTGGATGATTGAAAGTCTCTGCCTAGTCCTCCTCAGGAAAGAGATAATGTCATATAGTTTCAAATTACCTGGCTTTGGGAACATTGGGGAGAACAGCTTGGAGAAAATGGAGGCTTAGAGTAGGAGATTATTACATTAAATAAAGTCTGGGAGAGAGGCTCTGGAAATATGGAAGTGAGGATGTACATATCTGGATACATATCTGAGACAGAATTCATGGGACTTGGAAAACACTTGTCTTACTGAGGTGAGAGAGAAGGCAGGGTCTCAACGGAGTCTTAGGTGTATAGTTTGGCTACTGAGCAAATGGTAACAGCATTTACCTTAAAAGAAAAAGGGGAGGGAAAATACAGGAGGAAGAAGGCTCAGCTGGAAGGAAGCCAGGGAAGCTCAATATTAGTTCTGAGTCATGCTGCCTCATGTCGGGGGGAGGGGGAGGAGATTTATATGGATACAGTTAGCCAGTAGTTGGATAAATGAGCTTACCATTCTAAGATGAGGTTAGCATTGAAAACTCTGATCTGGGAAGTCTTCAGTGGGGAAGGCAGGGTTTAAAAACATAAAAGTGGATGAGAATGCTTAAGGAAATCATGTAAACTGAAAAGTAAGTTTAAAAGAAATCACTGATCTAGTGGCCCAGGGAGTATGGAGAGAATAGAGAAAATTCTCGGACTACTCACAAATCGGGAGATTCGGAGATGAACTGGGCTCCATATCAAAATACAGAAAAAAATTCACATCAAAATATGAGTATTCAGCTTATGTTAAAAAGGTGTATGAAGAGAACACCTGGGCTGTATGCCAGGTGGCAACAGTTGCTTGCAGGTGAATGCAGACTTCATTCTCTAGACAAGGCGCCCATGTTCTAGATTGCCAAAGGTACAGCCAATGCCTGTTGGTGTCCTGGCACCCAGGCAGGGATCTTATTCTTACTGAATTGAAAATATCTCTAAAATAGAACCCCTGTAACATGTATGTCTATATAATGTGACTGATTATGAGGCAGAAAAAAATCAAATATCATTATACATTTCCATGGTTGTTCCCTTGAACTTGGGTGATTCCTTTATTAAAGTGATTTGATTAGGTGTTCTAGAATGTTGAGTTTTCAAACTTGTGAAAGTGTGTTGTCAGGTAAGAGAGAGATTTTAATTAAATACGTTCTATCTCTGAAATAGAGCAGATAAGTGAACTGTGCTCTGTATTTAATTAGGGTGCACATTTCTTCTGGAAACCTGGACTTAACTCCCAAATCTATTGGTGGCCTTTGGAGGCAGAGGGGGTAGGGAGACCTCATCTGATAAGCATGTGCTGGGTAGCACACAATGTATCCAGTAAGCCACATATATCGTTTCATTTGATATCATACCACTTGACACTGACACAATCCCTGGGATGTCAGTATTATCATTCTCACTTAGGAAAAACAGTTAAAATGCAATAGGTCTAAGTAACTTTGCCTACACATGCATAGAGAATGAACAAGTAGAGCCAGGCTTTGAACTCAAGTTTGATTCTAAAGCCTGCCAGACCTTCCATGATACCAGGCTGCTTTCCCATCAATGGAAATGTTGGAAAGATGCAATTAGGTGGGAAAATGCAATTAAAAGAAATAAGAATCAGCTACATAAGAGCCAATCCAAATGCCAATAAAAATTAAGATAATCTGTGATGGCATTGTAGATGGTGTCTTAGAGTGACAGATTCTTTTAAAATAAGATATTACACTCTAATGGACAATATACTCAATCATATTTTGTTGAATGAATCAACAAACTAATATAGTCATCTCTCTACCTCTCCAGAAACATTAAATTTTAAAGTTTTTATATTATGTTATATGAGGCATATAACATATTGAAGCATTATTTACTTGCAAATATAAAAGAATAGAATAAAAAATAAAAGCTAAGGGATATGAGTCATTAAAAATAAGTCACATGCTAAAACATTTTATTCTCTAAGAAAGTAGTATATATCATTATTGAATTATAATCTTAGCTGGCTATTACTAGCTAGGTAAATGTGATCTTATACAAGTATGTTTTTTGTTATAAATGCTCAAATACACAATCATATAACACTGATTGAATTTATATATATATATTTTCATTCTGAATGTGTTCTTTTAGCCTATTTTTCAATTTCTTAAATTTAAAAATTTACCAAGTAAGTAAGCCATATTTGTTTTGGAATCAAATGGTAAAATTTATAAATGGTTTCTCGCTGGGGTTATATGACAATTTTATTTTCTCTCAGATTCCAGTTTTTATCTTCAACAAGGCAGTGAAACTGCATTCTTTTTCGTATTCCAAATTCACAATCACTGAAGGACAGGGAACTGGATGTGGAAGGAATTTGAGAAGCTCCAGGATTCCCGGAACTCTTCAGATGATTGGTCTTCTCAATAATACACAGCTGACTGCAAATATCCTTACACATTATGCAAAGCAAGAATATTATGTCAATACTCTATCTCTCTGATTAAAGCTATTGGTGTCATAGTGTCCCATTAAACATAGCTTTGGATGTAACTTCTATAACTAGATCAGAAACTTAAGATACTATTTCATCCAGCCCAGGCATTCAGACAAGAATTTTAACATCAATGGCTTTTATAGGCTCAGTAACTGAGCTTTTGAGATAGAAGCTTTGTTCATATCAATAAAGCTAAATTTCTTAATTGAACATTGGTGACTCTTTCCATTAAGGAACATGGATTTTCATCATATTTAGGGCAGATTAATGAGGCCTCAATGGCTATGTCAAAACCCTATCATATTCTACAAAGCCTATGGTTCAACAATACATATTTGGCAAGTGATCCACTGCTATAAGACATATTCTCTACGGGTCAGTGTGGAAAGGAGACAGAGGTATTTGCAGATGAGACCCGTGTCTCTGTGAGGAACCATAGTGTTGATCACTGAGACATACACAGGCTTACAAATAAAGAGTCATCTAGTTGAAGATGACTCATAGACCAAGGTCCATGTATTGACAGGGAAATGGAGACAAGAAATATTTTCCAAAAGACAGACAGAAGTAACAGGGTTCAGTCAAGATTTAGATCTAGGATTCCTGACTTCTAGTTCAGTGTATTTTTGACAGTATCAGGCTAGGCTCAGCCCAAAGAAAACATACCTTTGCTTTCATATTTATAAAATGGTGGGATCATCTACACTAACATTTATAAAAATGAAAACTGATCGATAGGATCATAATGATGTTCTGCATGTTGTCTGTAGCAGCAATTCATAAAGTTTTATTTTTTATTGTGAAAATACCGTACAGAGGGGTTACAATTACATGAGCAAGGTAAGGAGTACATTTCTTATCAAGCATTGTTGCCTCCTCCTACAAAGTTTTAGTAGTCTAGGTTTTTCTAAATGTTAACCATCTTGCATGTTTGGGGACTCATCCTTTAAAAACCCATAAACGTGTGTTAATGATGTCAAATATCTTGTTGATGTAAAATTAACACAATGCCATTTCAATGTCCAAGAAGAACTGAGACTAATTAAAAATATACCAATGGATAAGAAAAGATCAAGCACACGGGATTCCCTTTCCTGCTTTTCAATAAGTTGAAAAGTGAAACTATGCCATGTCCTCAATTATTTTGATTAATCACTGAAAGTTTGATACAAAGCCCTTTATAGCCGTCACAGTCAGGGTAAGTACCTCTTTGGGAAGATCTTGGGAACCATAGTGGCTTAACTGGTGAACAAAAGCAGGGAAGAAGCCCTGGATGATGTTTAGAACCATGGGATCTAGGTTTGCAGGGGCATGCAAAGGGATTCTCTCCTAGAAATATACATCACACAGCGTGCGCTGTTTGCCATGACAACGAGCAGTTCCAAAGTTTAGAGGCCACACAGTAGAAGCTTCAGCCTTGTCAATGTGAGTGGATGTGCTCTGGGGCTAGATTTGCATGCAGAGTGAAGCCTGAGAGGTGTGTTAGAGGAGGGGCCAGAGCCCATGCGCTGGGGGAAACAGAGAGTGCTGCTTCTCTTACACTCACCGTTCCTGTAGCGCCCAGGGAAAGCTGATTCATCTGCTGTGTCAGGGGACCCATCATGCTTGTTGGCTGCATTGACATAGGGTGGTCCATGGTCGGCGTAATCACAGCACCCTGCAAGCAAACACAAAGGCCAAACACATTTCATAAGGAGGAATCTTTTATTTTTAATGAATAAAGACCACAAAATCTGGTTCTGTGTTAACCTGACATGCATTCACTATTTAATGAAAAGGCAGGATTCAGGATTCAGGTTTGTATGGTGTGTGAGTGTGTGTGAGTGAGTGCTGGTACTGGGGCTTGAACTCAGGTCCTTTTGCTCTTGCTTGGCTTTTTCTTGCAGGGCTAAAGCTCTTTCAGTTGGGTTATATCTCTCCTTAATGCCTTTTTTGCCCAAGCCATCAGCACCTAGTGTGGCTTTGTGTGAGTATTATGTCCAATCTTTTGTGCCCATTTAAACACATGCATCAGCAGCTTCCTGTCCTCAGATGTAATGTGTGGGAGGGTGTGGGGGGGGAGGGTGCTGGGCACTGGAGGCCTGGGCATTGTCCCTGAGCAATTCTATTTAAGGTTGACAGTCTACCAGTTGAGCCACAGCTCCACTTCTGGCTTTTTTTTTTGTTTTTTGTTTGTTTGTTTTTGTAGTTAATTGGAGTCAAGAGTTTCATGGCCTTTCATCTTGTATTTGTGGGATGGCTGCCAAATGTAATCTTTAGATTCAGCCTCCTGACTAGCTACGGTTAAAGGTACCAGTCACTTTGCCTACCCTCTGATGTAATTTATATGTAATATATTTACAATGCACATTTGAAGTAGAATTTATTCAAAGAAATCATATACTTTCTTTCTGTTCTAGACGTGAAGTTGTTGGTCTGAAAACATAAAAAATAATGGAAAATTCTCTTTTTCTTGATTTTTAAATAAAACTTTCTGTTCTTTCCACACATTTATAACTCACCTAGGCAATTTGTGATCATCCCAATGCGATCTACCACTGAGATGTAATAAAAACCTAGATTATTTTTCTCCACAGTGCTTTGAAAAGGATGTTAAAATCTATCAATTATCTAAAAATCAACCTTATTATATTCCATGTTATCCTAATCTTTTGATTTATTTTCTGCCTATGCTTTTGACAATATTTTATGTCAATCCAAACATTAAAATCTGAAACCAAGAAATAATGTCAGAATTCCCATTAGGTGTTAGGAATGTATACTACTAGCTTTGACTTACTATCACTGCTGAGTGTATAAGAAAATGTATAAGTGTATAAGTGTATTAGAAAATGTGTCTATCTATGAATGGAACAAAAAATGGAATCAGGTCTATGGCTCTTTCTTTCCCTTCTCTCTCCCTTTCTATTTTCCCTTGATTGGTGTCTTTTGTAAAACAAAAAACTAAGATGGGTAATATCTTTGAAATTTATGTGATTCAAATGCTTTGGTTTAAAGATTATAATGAAGACAAACTCATATACAATAACCAACTTAAGTAGTAAGTTCTAATAAAATAATTATCAAAAAATATTTTCCCCTAAAGATAATTATTTGTCTACTGTTACTTTATTTTCTTGATGTAATTAAATATTTTGGCTAACCCATGACAGCTACTTGCAGATGGCATCATCTCAACGCCTACATTAATTTTTCAGAAGCAAATGTTTCCCTGAGTGGTTGTATGATATTGTCCAAATTCTCTCTTCTGATCAGGTTAATACTCAGCCTCATTAAATCTGAGAGTAGAAGCAAAGTAAAACTTTTGGAAATGCTTGATTTATAGAATCAGCTTGGTTTACAAAGACATTTGGACTTTTTCACTGAAATTGATCATAAAATGTATATTGTATCGTAAAGGTCTGTATTTAATTATTTATATCTGTTGTTTGAATTTCTTTAGACTCTTTTAAATTATTACTCATCAGGATATTTCTTAAATTAGAAGTAGGATTTGATAAATCTTTACTTAATTACAACTGACACAGGTCATTTTGTTTCCTGCTGCCTTAATTTCTTTGCTAAAAGCAATCTACCTCTTCGTTTTGTAAAACATAAACATACCTACTGTCCTTCAGTTTCAGTATTTGCTGTGCCAGACCAGAAGTAAACACTCTAAGAAATCACCTGAGGACAATTACTGAATAACTTTAAGATGGAAATCCAGAACTTTTTTTCATAAAAAAATGACACTTTCACAACTTGCATTCCTAACATGCACAAAACTTCAGGTCTCTTCTTGAACTTGAGACTCAGCCTATTTTCTTAAAATGTTTGCTGACATTCCAACATATAACTCAACTGCCTCAAGGTCAGAAACCTCTTAATTCCATCAGCCTTCCTAACCCACAGAAGGGACCATTACATCTGAATCAAAGACAAAGACCAAATTATGTTAGTGAGAATTAGACTTCTTCATGCCCTGGAGGGTTCCCATTCCCCCAGGATATTGGAGGTTCACTTTTAGTCTTTGGGAAGCAATATGCAAATGAGTTAGGTGAACAAGTGACAGATCACTCCAAATGCATTCATGATAGAATTGTTTAGTATGTCTGTACTTGGAATTAATTTAGGAAGGATTGCCTGATCTCTTACAGAATGTTTTCACAGAAAGCAGGGTATGGGGGCTCATTTGATGATTTGGTGTCTAAACCAGAAATGTGACAAGCAAAAGAAAGGATTCGAAGAGATTTGTCATGAGTTGAAATTGTCAATAGCATCTCTGGACAGTGAAAATCATGTAAGAAAAAGATTCCTTCATTAAACAAAGCACTGCAAATAAATGAAAAAGAATGCAAAGATTCATGGGGGGAGATGTGTAAGAATATACATTTTTGTACTCAGTAAAGTGTTTCACAAGTAAAGAATTCCTACAAACATTAAAGAATAAACACTATGTGATCATAAAAGAATGGAAGAAATGTAAAATTAATACATTCACTGATAGTGAATGATAAAAGCCTATCAGTCCCATCAGAGAAAGGACATTTTTTTGAATCACATGTTATCAGAGACCGGTTTAAATATATCTATAGTAAATAATGATTTTCAGGCACTTTTGCTTATCAAAGATAATCAGCTAATTTTGTAGTGTGTCTTACCAAAAAACAACAACAAAAGAAAACTTTGTGGTTATTGCCTCTTACACATAATTGTAGCTCATTAAATACATTGTGGAATCCTTTCCCACCCAATGCATTTAAGTCAGAGACAGAAGAGTGTTTGTGACAGATGTTGCTAAAGGATTAATGGTAATTTTGTTGACTTGGAATGTATAGAATGTGCTATCTGACAGAGATCACTCAGCAAAATGACAAAGCATGAGGAAGCAGATTTTTCATTTCAACATCTCCGGATGTCTATGTTTGCTCAATGTTTAAGCTGCAAAGAAAAATATTGTAGCATTGCTGTAATTCCACTAAACATGAACAATGACCAAACAGCTGAGGGGAACTTCTGGCCCATTTTAGTCATTGCTTCTGCACAAACAAAGCTGTTCTACTTAGCAGACAAAGGGAGGAACTAGTCATACTAGCTGTGAAATAAACATTCACTCAAACATTTGGGTAAAGATCATCATGTGTGGATTAATAGATCCAATCCAAAGCCATAAAATGATGTATGCTATTAACCCTCTGTCAGTGTTTGCAAAAAGAAAAGCAAAACAACCACTGAAGTTTTTGAAAGTTCACGAACTTTTCTACTAAAAGACAATACCCTGTACATCAATGGAAGGCACTTCTCTGCCATCCAGATCAATTGTGGCTGCTTTAGCATGTATCTGTATTATCCAGGCTATGGATGCCAGCTGTCTATGCAAATAGAGACGTTCACCCCCCACCCCCCACTCCCCTGTGTGCCAGTACCAGGGCTCAAACTCAGGGCCTAGTATTCTCACCTCTGCTCACAGTTTTGCTCTACCACTTGAGCTGCAAGTCCACTCTGGCTTTCTGCTTGGTAATTGGAAATAAGTGTCTCATGGATTTATCTGTCCTGGCTAGCTTCAAACTGGGATCCTCAGATATGATTAGTGAATTTTTATGCAAATATTAAAATAACACACTAAACTTGTGACTGTAGATTTTTAACACATTAAAATACATATCCTATATAAACATATGTGTTTGAGTGTTATTTTGGTATTACTAGTTAAATTGCTAGTTAAAAATATTAATAGTTCAGGGATTACTAGCATGTACTCTCATACCTAATTCTGTCACCTCACTTTTGAAGATGAGATCAATGATGTAGTAAGTACCTTCAATGCATTATCTTTGAAAATTACTAAAATGAAAATTTCACTATTTGTGGCCATGGTTGTTTTAATGCATGGAGACATTTTGCTGTCAACCGTGCAGATGGAGTGTCATGGGCTACTAAGGGGTAGATGCTATTTATTGCTAAATACTATATCCTAAGCAAGACAGGTTCCCCCACAATAAGTACTAATGTAGCCTCACACATCATTAGTACTAAACTTCAAGCATGATGTTATGTGCATATTTATGTTCGTTCATAAGCTCCAGTTATACAAAAAATAAGAAATAAATTGTAAATGTGTTACCTAGAAAATGAAATGAAGTATTCACCCATTGTCTTAAAGTAAATCTTAAATGCTTTGCTGAGAGTATGTTTATGATATAAATCACTTTATTAATGAATTGGGTTCTAAATCAATTTCCCAAATTCTAAATAAATTGATTCTGAGTTAATTGCCCAAATTTTGTAAGTTGATCAAGGAAAAGAAGCAAGGCTTTCAATGGCTAGGTCAAATTTATTTTTCCTTATTTCAGAAATGTCCATTGCTAAATGCAAATATAGAAAAATGATGCTCATAGTAAGACTGGTGGTGGGATCAATTAACAAGAGTTCAACTGTATCTGCCTGGGTTGTACAAGGCCCTGAGTTCCAACTTCAGTACTGCTACAGAGTGCTGAATGAGAGATTCTCTATCAGTTATAAAATTAGATTTACTCTTCTACTCTTAAATCAAATATTATCCGGATTGGTTTTTCAATTGCTTATCATAAATTGAAAATGTAGGATTTTTCAAAATGTAATATTAAAAGACAATAAAACCAAATTACTTTTTACCATGGAGACCCTCTTAAAAGAACC